GGCAGGGCAAGACACGGCCCGGTCGCTCTGGCACGTGTCGTAAGGACCCGGCTCCAGCACTGGGGCAGGACGAGGCTCTGAGGACACGGATTGTCTCCTTCACCGTCTCCCAGCTCTGCCCCACTCCCTTTTCTGGTGTTTCTTTGTGAGCATTCGTGTCTGTTTGGATGGAGGGGAGATGATGTTTTTGGATGGCTCAGCGGGTGGGTGGAGGATGTGAATGTGAAACCGTTGTGCCAGAAATCCCCGGTAACCCAGGTTTTCCAGCAGCTTCCCTGCTGCCTCGTTTGCCTCTCGTGTTTTGTTTAGCTTGGACAAACCAATTTGCTTGGGGGCTGCTTTTGTTCATGGCTTCTGTCACCCTGTGGTTCTCATGTAAGGACACTCTGGGGAGCAGACAGTCCCTGCTGTCCATTTGTCCTGTTCGAGTCCGTCTGTTTGAGTTGTGGGAGACTTCCCTGCCCTTGCAGGGGGGTTGGACCTGGATGATCTTTAAGGTCCCTTCCAACCTGACAATTCCATGATTCTATGATCCACCCACTGTCCTGAGCCTCCTGCAAGGCTTTGAGGCTGCCCTTACGAAGCTCTGTGCGAGTTTTTCCAAGAGTGTCATTACATGTTTCGTTTTCGTTCGATTTCCTGAGCGAGGAGGTAAACTTCTTAGCTGTCCGTACGTCACAGGAACGAACCTGAGCACGTAGAAATGTTTCACACCTAACTGATGCCTGCAGAGCATCAGGTGAGACCAGCACCGCGAAGCACCTCTGCAGACACAAAAAGAACGTGAAACGTTGATGCAATTAGACTGAATTACTTTAAAAAGAGCACCAGGTTATGAAACTTCCTTCACAGGGTGCGCGCTGGGGGTTCGGAGCACTCTCGCGCTGATGGATGATGTGGGTTCAACCTTCTCTCTGGGTCTTTTCCAGCCCATCGGAGCTCTGCTGCTGGAGCACTGCAGGATCACCAAAGAGGAGGAGAACGTCTTCTCCATCAGTGAGTTCTGTCCCTGGGTTTTCTTTATGGCGAAGAGCGCTACACGAAAGGAAACGTTTTGCTGCTTAGTTCCCGCTTTTCCTTCTGTTTTGGGGTTAGTGCTCCTCAGCCCTTCTCCTGCTCCGAGGGGCGAAGTGCTCCATCTCCTCCTCAGCCGCCAGCCGTTCCTCTGGCGCTGCCGTGGCGGCGTTTCCTCACTGGCTGTGGGATCTGAGCAGCCACATGTGAGGAGAGGAGCAGTAACAACAGCCAGACTTGTGAAAATCCCTCTCTTGGAGGGTTTGGGATTGACAGATTGCTGCTTCTGTGCTCTTGCATTTTATGAAAAAAAAAAAAAAAGGAAAAGCGAGCCTGGGATAAACCATCTGTCAGGCTAATCTCGCACCAGTCCTCCCGCCACGCTGTTTGTCCTTGTGTTGATAGCCACGGCTCCAGCTGGCTCGTGGTGTGTCGTCCTTTGTGAGCAGCCTTTCATCCAACAACTAATCATTGTGCGAGAGGTATGTGGCAAAAATAACAGGATGTTTCTCCAAGGCCATCCCCGTATCTTTTGGCCTGGCTGTCGGGCACAGCTGCTTTTCTGTGCGGAGCCTTGGCTCCTCTTTCTCACCGGGAGAGGGGATGTTCTCACCGTCTCCACCGGACCATCGAGCAGCCTGAACGTACTGAACTCTGTGAGCACCCTGCTCCAAATTTTGGGGGCTTTAGGGCTGTCCGGAGCTCTGGGGAATGAGGATTCCTGAGGAAAGTGTTGAGCCCAATGGCCACGTACGTCAGGTTGTGTCCCCACACAGCAGCCCTGAGGGGTTGGGTGCAGCGTGACCCAGTTATTTAGCAGCAGCAGCCTCGATCTGTGTGGACTCTGCACCAAAGAGCAGAGCTCTGGGGACGGGCTAATTAATGAGATGCCCTGATTCTGTCTTGGTAAAGAGCTGGAGTTGCACAGGGACCTGCCTTCTGCTGTGCCCAGAACCAAATTTACAAAAGCCTCAAGCAAAGATGCGTTGGTGCCTTCTCGGCTTGCAGTTTAACTCCTGAGCTGGCTGCCCTCTGCGTATATCGAAATCGCTTCCCTGGGGCCCTTTTCCACTTTGGTTACTAAATCTCTGGTGACTGTTTACCAGCAGGTTCGATCCCAGACCTGGGGCCTGGTTGGTCCAGTTCAGTTCCGAGCTGTTGCCGGCTGTTTGAGGAGTTGTTCTTCCCTCTCCAAAGCCTTTGGCTGCTGTAATAAGCTGCTAAATGCCACAGGCAGCTGCTCCAGGCCAGCCCAGAGCCACCCGGGGTAAGGGAGAGGGCACAGAGGCCTGGGTTACCAGTTGGTTCACGGATTGTCTTGAAGAGAGGTGCTGACTGTGGCCTGGCAGAGCCGGGCTGTTGCCGGGGAGGGCAGCAGTGGAGCCAGGACCTCCCTTAAGGGTTTTCCTTACCCTCGGCAGGTTTCATTGAAGAGCCGGAGAGGAAATACTGTTTCGAATGTGACAGCGAAGAGCAGTGTCAGGAGTGGATTGAGGCACTCAAGCGAGCCAGGTAAGGCCGAGGCACTGGCGTGAGCTCCGGGCTCCTTGTTCTCTGGGGTCAGGTTGTGGTGAGCCAGGGAGAGCAGCAGTCATCTCCTCCCAAGCAAGCTTCCCTTCAGCTCTAAATAGCATCTGAAACTTCTCCACATCCTTTTCTGCTCAGCCTGCCGCACACTCTGTTCCTTTCTTACAGCTACGAGTTCATGAGGAGGAGCTTGATTTTCTACCGGAATGAGATCCAGAAAATGACAGGGAAGGTGAGTCCCTTGAAGTCGGCGTGTCAGGTGGCGACCCCCGGGTTTGGACTGGAGCGAGGGCTGGTGAGCCCAGGCCTTGGTGCTGCCCGTCCTGCACCAGGACAGCGGTTTGCAGTGTGTTTGCAGTTTGTTGCAGTGTGTGTGAAAGAAATCCTGTCCTAAGCCAGTGCCTGAGGCCGCGGCCTCAGTGGCCAGAGCTGAGAGTCTCCCTCTGCCTGTGCTGTCGTGCTCGGCTCTGACCCTGGTACGTGCGCTCTTCCCTTGGTGGAGTGGCCCGAGGTTTGTAGGTCTGGCCTGAGCTCGCCTGGACTCCCACCGGTTCTCTGGAAGAGTTCACAAGCAGCCTTAGCAAGATGGGAGCGTATGTGGGTCGAGATGCTGCTCCCAGCCCCTCGGAGAATCCCTGCTCGAGGTGCCGGAGGTGGCTGCGGCTCAGCCGTGTGCAGCCCGTGAACCACAGTGACACCAGAAAGAGCAGCCAGGGGCTGGGCTGGGCTAAATCCAGTGCTCGGCTGGAGGGAAGAGTCCTGCCAGCCTCCCCCTCCTCTGCATCTCACTGCTGCCTTCCCTGTGCTCTCGATGCAGGACCCCCTGGAGCAGTACGGGATCTCAGAGGAAGCCCGCTTCCAGCTGGGAACACGCAAGCAATAATCCCCTCGCCCGGGCTGAACTGGCTCCTGGCCCCAGGCTCATGCCGGAGGGTCACCCCCAAGCCCCCGGCCCCGGGAGGAACAGCAGCAGTTCCCTGCAGCAGCGACCAAGTGACTGTTTAATTTATTAGCCAAATAATTTTGTATGATTTTTTTTTTTTTTAAAAAGGGAGTTCAGTGCACATTCCCGCTTGCCCTGGCTGTGTAGGCGGCTGCTCCCT